TGACGTCGGTGGGAAAGTCGGTCCCATATTCCAGAGCTGCAGGAGTCCCAGGATTGGCGCTTTGGTCATCCCAGAACAGCTGCTCCTCCACCTGGGTGCACCGGCCTGCCATGGACTGGAGTAGCTGCTCCGGGATGACCAAAGGGCCAATCCTGTGACTCCTGCAGCTCTGGAATATGGGACCGACTGTGATGACCCAGAGTGTACCACAAATGTAACCAAATCCAAAACGTAAATAAATGTCCTTTAATGCCTCCAACTTGGCCCCACTGTTCAATAATAATTCTCAGCTGGAGATAAAACGTACTCAAAAATAGTCTTCAAAAGGAAGTAATACTGTCCAAACTTAATGAGCAGATAGAGGTGAAATAAAAAACCAAAACAAACGACAATGAAGGAATTTCCACAACGGAACAGACGTATTTACCAAATTCAAGGAGATAACAAGGCATAGTCTGTTGGACATCAACCAAGATAACTGCAGACCAAAATAAAACACACTTTGTTTCCAGTTTTTGTCAGTACACAGGTCCAAACTCTTATGCAATTGTCACAGCTGCAGCCCGTGAAGAGGATCAAGGCCCTCTCCTCCCCAGTAGACCATCTCTCTCCCTTATCCTCTCCTCCCTGCGTGCCCTAGGATGGAGAGGGGATGGGCCCGGGTCCTCCTCTGCCCTTCCCCAGCCTCCTCTACAACCTCTGGAGCCACACTTCTACTCCCTGTGGGCTGTTCCTCCTCTCCCTCAGAGTCAGCCTCCACCAAGGGCATGACACCGACTTTCCCACCGATGTCAGCAAGCCAACCTGGAGTGGATTTCCCTCCCCTGCTGTTGGTTTCATCTTCCAGTTCCAGCTCGTGTGGCTCTCTACTCCAGGTAAGGTTTATGCTCAGTCGAAGGGCGGGAGTCAGTGGGTGGGCAGCTCAGCCTTGTGTTTCCGCGCAGCCTGGATTAATTGCTGGTGGGGGAGACATTACTCTGCAGACCACCAAAATTTTCTCACGGACACCCCAGTGGTCCCTGGCCCACCGGTTGGCAACCACTGCTCTAGGTTGCACCTGTAGGAGCTCAGTGGGAAGATATTTGCATGGAGAACCAGGATCTTCTCCGCAGCTCAAACCTGTCGGAGGCTCAGCCAACAATGCATGGCATTTTGAGGGTCAGCAATCTTGGCTACAGCCCAGGTCTATTTCTGACCCTGTGATGAAGGCCCACACAAGACGTTTGGTGGCCGGGCCGCCCGTCGACAACTGCTGGAGAACACCGGCTCCCCTGTAACATTAAGACTTCCAGAGAATGGAAGGATCGAAAAATAGGACAAAGGATCAAAATAGACCAGAATGCTTGGAATGTTGTTTCCTGATGCTTTTTAAAAAAATCATCCGGTTGTTCTCCTTCCATCTTTATGGGTCAGCAAGAAGCCCTTGCAAAGGCCTGAAAAGATGCAATTTGGTTTGGGGCATCAGTTTTAAGTTGTGCCCGATTCTTTGTGATCCTTTCTGCTTGTGGTTCTTACCTTAGGAAGAACCAACTTAGATCCGCGCTTCGGGAAAGAAGACCTACAAATAAAGCAAAGGTTTGTGGTGGTTCAGTCACTAAGTTTGTGTCCCCATGGACCACAGCGTACCAGGCCCCACCATCCTCCGGTCTCCTGGAATTTGCCCAAATCCATGTTTGTTGCGTTGATGACACCACCAAAACATCTCCTCCTTTGCCATCTCCTTCTCCTTTTGCCTTTCCATCTTTCCCAACGTCAGGGTCTCCTCCAAGGAGTCCTCTCTTCTTCTTTGGTGACCGAAGGAGTTCAGCTTCAGGATTTGTCCTTCTGAAGAACACGATCGTTTTTGCATGATGGTTTACGGCCCTCAAAAAAAAAACAGTAGAAGCAGAAGTCAAGTCATATTTCGGGAGAAGCACAGTGACTCAACCTGTCAAGGTTTTCCCAAGATCTGCAGCAGCTTAGGAGACCCAACTCTGGAGAAGACAGCTGTCATCTTCGGTTTAAGTCTTGTTCCTTGAGGACAGGGGTGGTGCAAGTGGACCTCAATTCAGTCCTTTTCCATCTTGACTTTGAGGGCAGCTTCTAACCAACACAAGTTGATGTTAAGAAGTGGAGCAGGATTCCCCTTGCTTATTCAAGGGGAGTCCTGCTCCACTCATAGATGGAAACGACTGTGTGATTCATTTAACAATTGGGGGAAATAAAATCAGACCCCACTCCCTGAACAAACACTTTGTTTAGCGACAGAAATTGTGATCCCGATTGTGGTTGCAAGTCGAGGATATCTGTATTTGTGACTATGTTTTATGGATTGCTGTGGGTTGCCTGGAATCATTGTGGGGGGACAGCTGGCCAGAGAAGGCCTGCGAATAAAAAAAAAAGAGAGAGAATTTATTCGCTTCCATCGGATAAAGCCCATTTAATCTTGCATGCCAGAGATACAAACGGGAAGGCCCAAGAGATCCATAGCTGAAATTAACTCTCTGCCGAGAATTGGATCCTGGCCAGCTCAGCCAGGGAACCAGCTGTCAAACTGGAATGCCTCTTCCAGCTTCTGGATCGGGAGCGGTTGAAGGAAAGAATTCCAGGATCAGCCACACAGCCGCCGATGGGGTTGCGTGTTAATAGACGCAGCTTTCTGGATCTCATGCCTTCAGGAGGTTGATGTTCAGGTAGGAAAGGGAGGGGCAATGCGAAGGAAAGGTGTAAGGAGGGGGTTAGGAAGAACTCGGTTCAGGGGCTAAGACGCTGAGCTCATCGGTCAGAAAGGTCGGCTGTTTGAATCCCCAGCGCCGCGTCACGGAGGGGGCTCCCGTTACTTGTCCCAGCTTCTGCCAACCTGGCAGTTCGAAAGCATGTAAAAAAAAAAATGCAAGTAGAAAAATAGAGACCCCTTGGGTGGGAAAGTCACAGCGTTGTGTGCTCCTTCGGCCTTTAGTCATGGCGGCCACATGACCACGGAGACACCTTCGGACAGCGCTGGCTCCTCGGCTTTGTCACGGAAATGAGCAGCGCCCCCTAGAGCCAGAAACGACTAGCACAGATGGGCCAGAGAATCTTTACCTTTTAAGACTTCACAGCCAATATTCACAAAAAAAACCCGAAGGTATTTGTAGCATTGATGCTTTCTAGGCTTGGGTTCCTTGCAAGACATTTCATGACCGAACTAGGGAACGTCATCAGTGTTAGAAGAGAGAGACTAAGCCCACAGCCTTCTCCCACTGATGATGGTAGCTTGTTTGGTTAAGAGAAGTCAGCAACAAAATAGTCAAGCTCAAAGTGGACCAAGGACTCCAGTATCCTCCTCCTCTTCTCCTCCCTTCCACACAACCATGAATAACTGTGTATTACAACTTCATGGCTTTTTAAAAGAGGCAGTAGTTGATAAATATAACGGACAACCAGTCAGTGTCAGGAAATTATTATTGTTGTGATTATTGTTGCTGCTGCTGCTATTATTATTGTTGTTGTTGTTGTTAGTTAATCTTTAGTGAGATTCACAGCCTTTGGGGCTGGTTGGTAGCTCAATAGTTATTGTTATATTTTGCTTCGATCTCTGAGGGTCCCCGAAAACCGATTAGGGGGCTTAAGATACCGAAGGTTAAGAACGACTGAAATAGCTGACATGCAGAAGATTCTTAGATGATGCCATTAGGAAGATAAAAGGCCAGCTGCCACAGCTGTCTTCCGTGATAAACTCAAATGGAAAAGAAAAAAAATATATGAAGAGCTGCCTGAAACATAGCAACAGAGGCCGGAAAAATCAGATACGCCACGAAGTGGGCTTCGGGCGGCTCAGGTCTCGATTTTCACGTGGGACTGCGAGGTGTCGTTTCTCCGGGCTGCTATTTTTAGGAAAAGGAATCCACCATCCTTTCCTTGTCACAAAAAGGAAAAAGAAAAAGCTTCTAGTCCTCACGGTTTTGGAAAAACGGAGAAATCTTTATCTTCGGGATGCTGAACCCTTCCTTCGTTCTCCCATATCCTTTCTTCGTTCAGTCCTTTCTTTCCTTCCTCCTCCCATATCTTTCCTTCCTTCCTTCCTCTTCCCGATGCTCACTTTGCCTTCATTCTTCACTGCCTAAGAATAATAGGTATATCTGTATATCAAGCTTCCTCAAAGGTTTGTGGCATTGTGAAATTGCTCAAACTGAGGTTTCCAAGTAGTTTTTTTTTCCCCCTCTCTCCCCTTTTTTGGACTAATAATTCCTGCTTCTTTCACTCCCATCCTGGGCTGTGATTCAGGCCCAGGAAGAGACGCCACGGGGGGTTACATCTGAGCAACCTTGGTTGATATTAATAGAAAAAAAGAAAATGGAGTTTGTTTAGATGGGGATGGGACACCACAAGGAGATCTCAGCATCGCAGCCAGACAGGGGAAGCTGATGAAAGACCCCTTGTGGGATGCCAAGGCAACTATTTAGTTCAGGGGTGTCAAACTTGATTTCATTGAGGGCTGCATCAGGGTTGTTTGACCTCGGAGGGCCGGGGTGGGCAGCGTGGCAGGACTTGAAGGAGACCCTCCTTCCTTCTCCTTATAATCTCCTTCTTTCCTCTTTCCTTATTTTTTTCCTTTCTTGCTCTCTTCCCTTCTTTCTCTCTCCCTTCCCTCTTTCCCTTTCCTGTCCCTTCTTGTATGCGTGCTCAAATGCAACGGGGGAAATATTTCTCCTTTTGTTTGGCTTTGTCGTTTGTTTTATATAGCCCTCCGCCAGTGAAACTGGGGGCATGGGGGGGGGGGGGGGGGGTGCAATGCGCATCTGAACGAATGAGTAAGGGCTGGAAGGGATCTTCGAGGTCTTCTACTCCAGCCCCCTGCTCAAGCCTGATCACGGCATTCACTTCAACAACCGGTGAAAGAAAGAAAGAAAGAAAGAAAGAAAGAAAGAAAGAAAGAAAGAA